ACATTTATTTCTCACAGTTCTGGAGGCTGGAAGTCCAAGATCAAGGTGCCGGCAGATTCGGTGTCAGATGGCCATCTTCTCACTGTGTCCTCACGTGGCAGAAGGGTCGAGGGAGCTCTCTGAGGTCTCTTTTATAAGGGCACTAATCCCATTCATGAGGGCTCCTTCACTTCCATATGACCTAATCACCTCCCAAAGGCCCCACCTCCTAACACCATCATATTGGGGGTTGGGTTTCAACCTATGAATTTTAGGGGGACACAGTCTATAGCATGTGGGGTTATTTGGGTCACATGCCCACGTTGTCTAGGTCGGGATCATTAATACTGTAGGAGCTCCTGGCTGGGTCTTTACCCTCTTCCTTTCATGTCAAGATAGCATATGATAAAATATCTGGGAATAAATTTAACCAAGGAGATGAAAGACCTATACAATGAAAACTATAAGATATTGAAAGAAATTGATGATGACATAGAGGAATGGAAAGATATTCCATCCTCATAGATTGGAAGAATAAACATAGTTAAAGGGGGCTGGCCCTGTGGCTTAGCGGTTAAGTGTGCGTGCTCCACTACTGGTGGCCCGGGTTCGGATCCCGGTCGCGCACCAACACTCCGCTTGTCTGGCCATGCTGAGGTGGCGTCCCACATACAGCAACTAGAAGGATGTGCAACTATGGCATACAACTATCTACTGGGGCTTTGGGAAGAAAAAGGGGAAAAAAAGGGGGAGGATTGGCAATAGATGTTAGCTCAGGGCCAGTCTTCCTCAGCAAAAAGAGGATTGGCATGGATGTTAGCTCAGGCCTGATCTTCCTCACAAGAAAAAAAATAAATAAATAAAAAATAAAAATAAATAAAATAAGATAAAAAAATAAACGTAGTTAAAGCTCCATACTACCTAAAGCAATCTACAGATTCAATGCAATCCCAATCAGAATCCCAATGACATTCTTCACGGAAATAGAGCAAAAGATACTAAAATTCATATGGGGCAACAAAAGACCCTGAATAGCTAAAGAAATCCTGAGATAAAAGAACAAAGCTGGAGGCATCACAATCCCTGACTTCAAAATATACTACAAAGCTGTAGTAATCAAAACAGCTCGGTACTGGCACAAAAACAGACACACAGATCAATGGAACAGAATTGAAAGCCCAGAAATGAAACCACACATCTACTGGCAGTTAATCTTCGACAAAGGGGCTAAGAACATACAATGGAGAAAAGAAAGTCTCTTCAATAAATAGTGTTGGAAAAACTGGACAGCCACATGCAAAAGAATGAAAGTAGACCATTATCTTTTGCCATATATAAAAATTAACTCAAAATGGATTAAAGACTTGAAGGTATGACGTGAAACCACAAAACTCCTAGAAAAAAATATAGGCAGTACACTCTTTGACATTGGTCTTAGAGGGATCTTTTCAAATACTATGTCTCCTTGGGCAAGGGAAACAAAAGAAAAAAATAAACAAATGGGTCTTCATCAGACTAAAGAGCTTCTGCAAGGTAAAGGAAACCCTGAACAAAACAAAAAGAAAACATACCATGGGGAGGAAATATTTTCAAATCATATATCTGACAAGGGGTTAGTCTCTAAAATATATAAAGAACTCATACAACTCAACAACAAAAAAACAAACAACCCAATCAATAAATGGGCAGAGGATGTGAACAGACATTTTTCCAAAGAAGATATACAGATGGCCAAAAGGCACATGAAAAGATGTTCAACATCACTAATGATTAGGGAAATGTAAATCAAAACTACAAGGAAATATCACCTTACACCTGTTAGAATGGCTATAACTACCAAGACAAAAAACAACAAATGTTAGAGAGTATGTGGAGAAAAGAGAACCCTCATACACTGCTGGTGGGAATGCAAACTGGTGCAGCCTCTATGGAAAACAGTATGGAGATTCCTCAAAAAATTAAAAACAGAAATACCATACAACACAGCTATCCCACTACCGGGTATTTATCCTAGGAACTTGAAATCAACAATTCAAAGAGACTTATGGACCCCTATGTTCATTGCAACATTATTCACAATAGCCAAGACATGGAAGCAACCCAAGTGCCCATTGACAGATGAATGGATAAAGATGTGGTATATATATACAATGAAATACTACTCACCCCTAAAAACAAAGACAAAATCATCCCATTTGCAACAAAGTGGATGGACCTGGGGGTATTAGGTTAAATGAAATAAGCCAGACAGAGAAAGACAAACACTGCATGATTTCACTCATATGTGGAAGATAAACAAATACATGGATAAAGAGAACAGATTAGTGGTTACCAGAGGGGAAGAGGCTTGGAGGGTTGGCATAAGGGGTAAAGGGGCATATATATATGGTGACCAACAAATAATAACATACAACTGAAATTTCACAATGTTATATACTATTATGATCTCAATAAAATAATTTAAAAAAGATAGCATATTACAAAGGAAGAAGGTGAGTGACATACTACTACAGGGTAAGCTGGGATTCACTCTAATTTCTAGTAAAGGAGAAATTTTTCAAGCCCAGCACTTCATTATCAGATATAATTGCTACTCCCTGGGGTATGTTTTGACGCTCAACGTGAAGTATTTATTTTCCAAATAAAATACCAACTCTTTGTGTTAAAACCCACGGCTGTCTGTGATCTGGTATTTGTTTACGTCTCCGGCCTCCTACCTTTTAACTCGATTACTTTTTAAATTTTTCCTATAAGAAAGAGAAAAGCATCCCCTGCTGGCTCTCACAGCCAGGCCCTGGTGTTCTCCTATTGAACGTAAGCAATCTCACAGGACACCACACCAGACAAGCCCACTCCGTGACTGTGCTGGAACAAGATGAGAACCACTCCACAGTCATGTCTCAGCACAGACACAAACAGGAACATGGTCTAAACTACAGAATGACCAAATACACCCCTATCCAGGGTGACATGAATGACTGCTGATTATTTACCAATTACAGCGTTAGCCTTTGGTGTGGACTGAATGTTGTGTCCCCTCCAGCATTAGTATGTTGACGCCCTAACCCCAATGTGAAGGTATTATGAGGTGGGGCTGTTAGGAGCTGATTAGGTCACGAGGGTAGAGCCCTCATGAATGGGATTAATGTCTTTAGGAAAGAGATCCTAGTGAGCTCTCTCGCCCCTTCCGCCTCGTGAAGACACAGTGAGAAGACGGCTGTCTATGAAACAGGAAGTGGGCTCTCATCAGACACTGAATCTGCCAGTGATTTGATCTTGGACTATACAACCTTCACAAGTGTGAGGAATAAATTTCTGTTGTCTGTAAGCACCCTAGTCTATAGTACTTTGTTATAGCAGCCTGAACAGACTAAGGCAGATACTTGTGGGAGCTCAGTGACATCACTTGGTGAGACTGGCCTATATTCAACTAGCTGAAACCCTCATCAAGATATGGAACATTTCTGTCACCCTAGAAAATACAATCTGTCATGCCCTTCCATAACAATCCCAGTGTTCTCAGCATGCCATGCTTGAGTGACACCTCCTGCCCTATGGACAGGGGGACAGCTTGAAGAAAACAGCCTCCAACTTCTCAGCTGCCTCGTTTGGAATTCCACCTCTTCTGCACATTCCTCTGGCAGGAATGAGAAATGCTGGCAGCCTGCCCCTCCTGGGAAGACACCACAGCCCTCAACTTGGGACTTGGAGGAGAGGGAGCCTTGTGGTCTTGGCGCCACCCACCCGGAATGGACTTTCCATCACGCTGAGCTGGAATAGGAATGGGAGGGTGCACGTGGTCATTCAAATGCCATAGACTCTCAACGTTCCTACTGAGTTTTAGTAGATTTTCTTGAATATGTATGTTTTATCATTTGTTGCTGGCTCTTAGGACAATTTCCAGAGAACTTAAATGGTTGTTACAAAAAGAATAATTTTCACCATCTATGCTTGTTTGACTGAAGAGTGAGTCCATGGAACATCTCATGTTACCCTTCCAGACATGGAACTAGCAGCACTGTTCCTAACAGCCCAAACTAGATATGACGTAACTGTCCACCAACTGGTGAATGGATAAACAATGCGGTGTTTATCCATACAATGGAATGATATTGAGAATAAAATGTAATTCACTACTGACACGGGCTCCAACATGGTTGAACTGCAAAAACCTAATACTAAATTAAATATATTAGACACAACAGACTTTACATGATCCCGTGTATATGAAATGTGCATAAAAACAAATTTTTAGAGAATAAAAGCAGATTGATGATCTCTTGGAGTTGTAAAGGGAGTGGGTATCAATTGTAAACATGCACAAGGGTCCTTTTTAGGTTGCAGGACTCTATAAATTTGCTAAAAAATTATTGAACTGTGCACTTACAATGAATTAATTTGATGTTATGTAAATTATACCTCAGTAAAACAGATTTTACAAGACTACGGGGGACTTCTGCATCTGAGCATGGGAGAGAGTCAAAGGGTCTAGAATTATCCTTCTATGTAAGCAACTAGAATAGGATGAAATATAGGAAACTTCTATTTTCATACATAGGATACAAGCAGGGAAGAACTTTGGTCCTTGAGAGAAGAAAAAATAATAAGGTGAAACTTACAATCAATTATAAATGAAGTGTAATTCAAATTAATAACTTAAAAATCGATCTGTCTCCTCACATGCCCTCCAACCATTCGTGCAGAACCATCAGGAAGAGTCCTGGACACCAGAGGTGAAGGGTCATTTCTGGACAGAAGGCAGGGCCACCTCATGCAGCACCTCCTTGCTCCACAGAGCTGTGCTGGGGAGGGTCTCAGGACACAGTGGCCTGATGGATCCTCATCCACCTGTCAGGGATCTAGATCCCAGACCTCGGCACCGCCAGGAGGAAGGGGCTCAGTCACACCTTGCAGCCCTCTCCCCATGGGAGTCTCTAAACCTGTAGGGGAAACACAGTTCTGCATATAGAGACCAGTTCTATGGAGGGCGTACTGGAGAGAACAAGATGGGTGAAGCTACCCAAGATGTCCCCAAATGTAGGACATCTTGAGAAGGGCTTCTCACCTGGTGTAGTAGATCCAGGTGAGGCCGTAGGTGAGAAGGAAGCCAGCCCCCATTAGGGCCCCCCTGAGCAGGGTGAGGACTAAAGGCCAGGTACCCTGCTGCTCCCCAGAGATGTGGGGGCAGTGACAGGAGAAACCTGGGGGAGGAAAAGGGAGAGAAGGATGGAGGGGTGAGTTTCCTAAACTCCACACCTGAACCTGCTCACTGCCCCACCTAGAACGCAGGTGTCCTGCTGTACTCACCCTGCACAATTAAGTTCACGGAGACGTGGTAGGAGCCCCAAGGGTTCTGAGCACGGCAGGTGAATTCTCCTCCATCCCCTAAGACCACCCGGGGAAGCTCCAGGACCCCAGGATCCAAGGGCTGAGAGGGGCTCAAGGTCAGGCTTCCCCGAGACCAGCTCAGCCTGGCAGGGTAGTTGCCATCAGTGTCACAGACCAGGCGCAGGGACTGGCCCTCCTGGATGGGCAGGGAGGTGGCGTTGCCCAGGACCTCTGGGACTAGGGAGACAGAGAGAGCCATAGGACAGGGCTGAGAGGCCCTCTCTCCCTCTGTCCTCCCACAGACACAGGAATGGGAAATAGTGTCTCTGAGACAGCAGCACAAGCAAGGGCTGACAGCGCTGGAGATCATGAGGTGAGAGGTGGAAAGAGAGGCAACTGGATGATCCAGGACGGGAATGGACATCTGAGGATGAGTTGGCCATGTCTAGACATGGGAGAGAACATCCCAGGAGTTGGACCTGATGTGTGAGCCATGCAGGGCGCTGACACACGTAGTCTGACCACCTGGAGGCTTCCACAAGGTGATGCCCTCAGCCTCTCCCCTGAGGCCCACAGGGGCCGTGGGAGGGCTCTAAACAGGGAAGAAAGAGGGTCAGATGTGGGTATGTAGAGTCCCCTTTGGGGGCCAAATTCTGGCAGGTGGGGACTGGAGGCTGGTAGTCCAGAGAGGAGGTTGGTCCTGTCCAGGTCTCACTCATGTCCATGAGGACGGAGGCCTGAGGAGGGGCTGCGGCCATGGGGATGGAGGAAGAGAGGGATCTGAGACATTTTCAGGAAGTCGACTCGGCAAAACTCACTGAGTCGTGGGGAGTGTTGGTGACACACAGAGATGTCTGAAGTGACTTCCAGGAATTGACTCAGGAGACTTGGGAGGGAGGGGCCTGGTAAGGGGGAGGGGAGGATGCTCAGGACCATCTGGACCCGACAGGGATTTGTGAGGGTCTTTAGGGCAGAGGTCAGATTGGAAGCACCAGGGTGGACGAGCTGAGCTGCAGGGTCATGCAGAAGGTGGTCAGAAGCAGGTGTCGAGCTGTAGGGACTCAGTCCTCTTGAGAGAGATGGAGATGGCACAGTCAGATAAGAGGAAGGGAATCTGGGGTAGGATGTCATGAGACAGTGAGGGGAGAGAGGAGGTCAGGAGAGAGGAAGCAACCAGAGGTGACAGTGAAGGGTCAACTAGGAATTCACAGTGACCCTAGAGAGTCCTGCCAGGGGACAGGAAGGGGGAGGGCTGAGGGGAACTGAGAGGGGATGGAGAGTGATGGAGCTTCATTCTGTCCAGCCTCCACACAGTCCCTTGACTTGACTTCTGAGACCCCACTTCCACCCAGGCCTCTCCCACCTGTGCTGTTGTCCCGGAAGACATGGACTGTCAGCTTCTGTGGAGCATCTGGAACAGAAATAGATAAGTGGCTCCTGCAGTAGGAGGGGTGTTCATGACCCAGGTGGTGGGGTCTGGGTGTTCTCTCCATCTCGACCCCAGCCATGTCTCTAAGAACAGTCTCCAGTATCCCACCCAGACCCTGCCTCCCAATCCTAGGAGCAGGAGGGACCAAACAGCTGTGGGGGTCTGTGGGGAGAGAGAAGGAGGAGCAGAGGACCCTCTCTCCTCTCAAGGACCCAGGTTTCCTTCCCCAGGTGTGTCCCGCTCACTGGTCACAAAGAGGCTCAGCGCAGTTTCCAGAGAGCCCAACAGGTGCCAAGCTCGGCAGACGTATTTCCCATGGTGCCCCAGCTCCACCCGGGGCAGCTCCAGGACCCCAGGGTTTGAGGGTGAGGAGGGGGTCAGGGTCAGGCTCCCCTGGGTCCAGCTCATGGTGGGAGGAGGGTTGCTGTCGGCAACACAGACCAGGCGCAGGGAATGGCCCTGCTGGACTGTAAGAGATGAGCCATTGCCCAGAGCTTCAGGTCCTGACAAGACAGAGAGAAAGCTGAGCCCAGGCCCTCATTAGGAGCGCACTCTGTCTCTCTCTCTCTCTTCCTTTCATCATGTAGATCTGTTTCTTTTCTTCCACTGCCTGGTGAGCTCGTACTGTCTGCACTCAACAACGGGGGACAGGGCTAGAAGCAGGCACTGCAGCCCTTCCCAGAGCTCCTCCTACATGCATTCATCTGAACCGCCTTGGTCCCCGCACCTCCCACCTTGGCCCTCTATGCCAACTCAGATCCCGGTTTTGCCTCTATGAGACTTGCCATTTTGTTTTTCAATAACGGTTCACAAAGACCTGTCTAATTTGGCTGTAGTTGAGGGATCACAGTCTCGTTGGCGAGTTACCCAAAAGAGCAATATGACATGTTTTGTGATGGGGACAAATTGGGCTGAGGGAGCTCTGAGTGCATTGAGACTCTCAGGACAAGGAGGGCTTCCTGGAGGAGGAGAGGCTTAAACAGAGCCTGAGAATGGGTGGCAGCTGACTAGAGGATGGTGCTGATGAATGACCTTGCGGGAGGCAGGTACAAGAGGTGCAACTACAGCTGGGGTGTGAAATGACCTCCATGCTCAGGGGAAAATGCATTGTTCTGTGAGGTTTGAGTGAATGGGTGTGCTTGGGAGTGTTGACACATGAGGCCACTGCAAGAAATTATGGGAGATTTAAAATAATATCAGAGTGGAGAAAGTCAGAGGCATGAAAGCAAACATTGATAAACGCCACCAGTGGTTTACTAGTAAATGTTTAACAACCAGCTTGTTCATGGTGGGGGGAGGGCAGAGTCCTGATTTGTAGCATTTGCCAATTTCCTTGGTGTAAACACTCCCATCTTGGCCAATTTCAAGCACCCAATTTGAACTCACTGAACCCTGAGTTGGGAAAGATGGACACAACTAGCTCTTGGGAACCAGTGACAGCCAAGACCAGGAGGAGCGGCTGTGCCCTACCTGTGCCTTCTCCCCAGAGCACCCTGATGATCAGGTTCTGGGGTGCATCTGGACAGACAGACATAATCGTTCCCTTTTCAGTGGCAGGAAGGTGGGTGTTGGGCCCTTAACTCAGGATCTTTAGAAATAGGAAGGGGGTAGAGCCTGGTGCCCTCTTTCCTTCCTCCCCAGAGCCACCTTGTAGGACCCAGCACCCAGTATCCTAGGTCTTGCCTTCCCCTCCCCCACACCCACTGCCCTCAGGGACCCAGCCGTCCTGGCCTGGCACTCACAGGACACGTTGAGCCGGACAGTCCTCTCTGTGCTCACGCCAGCTCCAGGGAATGTCACTCGACAGGTGAGGTTGGTGCCATGGTCCTGGGGCCCCAGGGTGAGGGTGAGCACTGAGGAGTGGGGAATCTTGGGGCCCAGGGAGGTGAGGGCAGCCCCAATCCAGGAGAAGGTGGGGGGCGTCCCCCTCTCACAGGCCCATGGCACTGCACAGGTAATGTTCTTGGGGTGGCCAGATTCTAGGGTCCCCTGGATGTGGACGTCAGGTGTCTGTGTCAGAGCTGAGGAGGAGAGAGAGAGACACAGGCCTGGAGGGGGGACCCCAAGTGTGACCCTAAGAGCAACCTCTGCCTCAGGCCAGTTGTCTCCTCTGCAGCCAACCTCAGCATCCTGTCCTCCTGAGTCACACTGGGTCCCTCCCAGGATGAGGAGCAGGGGAGCCCCTCCCGGCCCCAGCCAGGGGGCCTTCAGAACCCATCCATGTGTCCTCTCCTTGACCCTATTCCTTACCCGTCACATGCACAGAAAGGAGGTTCTCATTGTAATTATATCTCGCAAAAGACCCTCTCTCCACCCTAAAGAAATATTTCCCATTGTCCCTCCTCCTGGCATCTCTGATGTCCAGGGAGCAGTCATTGGTCCAGGGGTCCCCGAGGAGGTGGAATCGGCCCTGAGTCTCCTCTTGCACTTTATGATCTGGGTTGTTTGTGGCCACTGGAGCATCCTGGTATGGATTTGCCCCTTCTTGGAACCAGTAGCCATGAGCTGGGTCAGAGTCAGTGTAACCGATTCGGGGGTAGACAACAGTGCAGGGCACACGGACACACAGGCCCTCCTGCACTGTCACAGACTCCTGCACTCGCAGCCGGAATCTCCCCTCCTGAGCCAGGGACCCTGTGGGGAAACGAGGGTCAACTGCAGCCCTTGACCCACCCACCCTCTCTCCACTCAGCCCACTCACCTGCCCACAGCAGGGGCAGCAGCAACTGCAGCAGCATCTCTGAGATGGACGGTTCTGAGCTTCTGTCTTGTATCTGGAAAGAGAAGAGGAAGGCAAGTGGGAGGGGAGGCTTGAGGAGACCCACGGGAAGCTGGGGAGGAGCCAGGGACTTTGACCATTCACAGAAGAGGAATGGCAGGTCGAGGCTTGTCCCTCTCTGCACAGAGCGCGTGGACACCCCACAGCCCAGATACATCGAGACCTGCCTAGAAAGGAGCACAAGGAGCAGACCCCACCTCCTGCCCCCGTTTCAGGGCTTCCTCTGCCACCAGAGCTGGACCAGGACCTCTGAGGACATCTGAGCAGTGGGACATGGTGAGTCTCTAAGGGCCTCCCCTCTGAGGTGCTTTTCTGAGCCCTGGTGTCTACACCAGGGAGCTGGTCAGTTCCCGCTTGGCCCTGGAGGGTCACAGCCTCATCTAGAGCTCGGGTGGTGGGTCCTGTCAAGTGTAAGATTCTTTAGGGTCATGTGAGCATCTGAGCAGAGGAAAAGAAGGGATCCTAGGTGAGTGAAGGAAGCAGCCATTCATTCATTCCCTCATTCATTCTCCAAACACTTAGTGAGTATCTCTGTGTTGGGGAGGTTGGAGGCAAGAAGGGAAATGACCCACCTGGTCCACGCCTGTGAGATGCTCCCGACCCAAGGAAGTCACTTCCGCCCCAAACACTCAGTACCGTCTGGCTTTAGAGCTGCCGTCACCGATGAGTTTGCTGTGTGTCCTAGAAGAATACTTAACATTTTCTAAAATATAAGTATGAGATTTTTTTTTTGACATCTAGTCAAAATAAACCCCCCCAAAAACAAATAACAGCTCTTTTCAAGTGCATGACTTGAAACTCTATTCCCATGGAACTTGAACTTCCCAATTCCCTCCACCTCCCAGCGCCCAGCAACCACTGTCCCATTTTCTGTCTCTAGGAATTTGACTACTTTAGATGCTTCATATAGGGGAATCATATAGTATTTGCCTTTTTTGTGACTGGTTTATTTCACTTATCACAATGTCCTCAAGCTTCATCCATGTGGTTGCATATGTCAGAATTCTTTCCTTTTAAGGATAAATAATATTCCATGGTAGGGGTACACCACACTGTGTTTATTCATCCATCCATTGAGGGACACTTGGGTTGCTTCCACCTTTTGGCTGTTGTGAACAATAGTGCTGTGCGCATGGGTGTGCAAATATCTCTGAGTCCCTGCTCTTTATTCTTTTGGATAAATGCCTAGAAGCAGAATTGCTCGGTCATACAGTAATTCTATTTTTATAAATTTAAATTTATTTATTTATTTTTTCCCCCAAAGCCCCAGTAGATAGTTGTATGTCATAGCTGCACATCCTTCTAGTTGCTGTATGTGGGACGCGGCCTCAGCATAGCCGGAGAAGCGGTGCGTCGGTGCGCGCCTGGGATCCCAACCCAGGCCGCCAGCAGCGGAGTGCGCGCACTTCACTGCTAAGCCACGGGACCGGCCCAGTAATTCTATTTTTAATTTTTTGAGGAACAGCCACTCTCTTATCATCCCTCACTTTTTTTTTTTTTCCTCATCTGTTGTCATCACCTTACACTGGCTATACCTGTTAACATCTCCCCCTGGACCCCTCTCCTGACCTCCAGATGTTTATATCCAGCTCTGTCACTGACATCTTCAGTTGGCTTTCAAGTGGCTTCTCGGAGTGATCAGCACCCTTCAACACCCTGCTCTCTGTCGTCCTCCATGGAACACAACTCCATCCTTCCAATTGCTCAGAGGAAAGATTTCAACACCATCCTTGCCCCTCTCTTTCCCCACTTACCACATCCATTAGAAATTTCAATGAGCTTGACCTTCAAAATGTTTTCTAAATATATACACCCCACCTACACAGTGTCCCTGGTCCAGGACACCATCACATCCTGCCTGGAGTACCCAGTAGTGACATGCCACATCTATTTTTTGCTGCCCTGGAATCACTCTGGCCCGTTCTGAACACAGCGGCCATTGGGATTTTGCTAACTTGAGGATCTAGTCATGTGTCTGCTCCCTTGAAAGTCTTCCAGAATCATGCACTGCCCTGCACTGGTCTTCCACGAGGTCTGCACCATCCTCCCTGTGCAGTCATACATCGGCCTCTTGTCTCTTCCACACACCAGGCCTGCTTCTGCGTCAGCACCATGGCACTGACTCCTCCCCCTTCTCCATCTTCCTGGAATACTTTTCTCTTAGGGAAACACAGAGCCTGCTTCCTCCCTGCCATCAAGTCTTTGTTCAAACATCACTTCCATCGCATCACACTCTCTGATACAGAAAACCCACCCCATTATGTCACAGGCTCCCTTCTCTGAGGGATTTCCCCCAAACATGTATTGATATCCAACATGCTCTATTTTTATTTATTTTTTATTCTCATCTCCATAATGACAGCATCTTGATGACAGAAGTGCCTCTCGTTTCCTTTGCTTTACTGTGGTAAAATATCCATGAAATAAAACTTACTGTTTTTAACATTCTATACGGTACAATTCAGTGACACTAGGTACACTCACAGTGTTGTGCAACCATCACCACTGTCTATTTCCTGAACATTTCCGTCATCCCAAACAGTAACTCTGCACAGTTACACAAAACAACTCCCCATCCTCCATCCCCTGGTTCCAAGCAGCCACCATTCTACTTTCTGTTTCTATGAATTTGCCTTTGTAGGTCACTCACAGAAGCAGAATCATGCAATATTTGTCCTTTTGTGTCTGGATCCTTTCATTTACCGTGTTGTTTTCAAGGGTCATCCATGTTGTAGCATGTGTCAGAATGTCGTTCATTCCTCTTTAAGGATGAATAATACTCCATTGTATGTATATACCACGTTTGGTTCATCCATTCTTCTGTTGATGGACACTAGGGTTGGTCCACTGCTACTGTGAATAATGCTGCTGTGAACAATGATGTGCAAGTATCTGTTACATCCATACTTTCACTTCCTTTAAGTACACAACTAGAAGTGGAAGTGCTGGGTCATATGGTAATTCTGTATTTAACTTTTGAAGGAAATTCCAAAGGGTTTTCTATGAGGCTTCACCATTTTTCATTCCCACAAGCAATGCATGAGGGTTCCCATTTGTCCACATCTTCACCAACACTTGATATTTTCTGCATTTTTCAAAATATATAATAGCTGTTCTAATGGGTGTGAAATTGTATTTCATTGTGGATTTGATTTGCGTTTCTCTAACGACTGATGATGTTGACCATCTTTTAATGTGCTCTTTAATCATTTGTGCATCCTCTTTGCAGAAGTGTCTCTTCAAATCCTTTGGATGACAGTAGGTTTTGAAGTTGTGGCCCCTATGACAGTGCTGGCATGGAGTAGGTGTGGAATAGCACTTGTTAAATGAGGCTATGAATAAATGACTGGATGTCACTCTGCTAAGAACCATACAATGATACACAGACACAGACACAGACACAGACACACACACACACACACACACACACCCACCCCTCATGACATGTAAGACTGAACCTGAAGGTTGAGCAGGACTTGGAGATGCAGGAATGTGGAGGGAAGGGCATTTCAGGAGAAGGAACTGTACATGCAAAGTCTCAGAGTCACAGAGGCCTTGGCCCAGCTGTGCGTGGAGATATTGCCAGATGCAGGGAGAGGGAAGAATCTGGGGGAGAGTCCAGCAGGGGACAGACCACACCAGGCCTTCCAATCTAGCCTGTGGTGTTTTCACCCGAGTATCTGGCCATGGAGGTGCCACGTAGCTGTTCATACTATGCAGGAAGTGGATGATGATGGTCTCTGGAAACAGTCTGGAGGCCTATGTTGAGGAGAGAGATGGTGGCAGGAGGTGAGATGGCTTCAGAGACGTGGGGAAGAGTTCATGACCCAGGAACAACCAGGTCAGGATGAGGAGGAGATAGGCAGCAAGATGAGTTGTGTAGGAGGAAGGATAGACAAGACTTATGGATGAATGGATCAGGGAGAAGGGAGGGAGATAAAGAGGAGAACCATATCCTGGTTCTGGCCTTAGAGATGGGGCCATGGTGTCATCAGTGTGTGAGAGAATCCAGCAGAAAAATGGGTTTGGGGAGGAAGATGGCAGCTCAGCTTTGGCATCCTGAGCAGAGCAATCCTGAGGGCCATCCTGGGGGAGGTATGTAGTGTGATGGTGGGTGCTGAGACGTCTGGTTCACTCACCTGACAGATTAACTTGGGGTGGTGTTTGCATCCTTAGTGCCCTCTGTGGACCTTGTCACTTTCCTCCTGCGGGACCTCATTCTGAGAGGAGACAAGGGTCTTTCAGTCTAGTTGGATCAGGGTGCAGGGGGCTCACACCTTCTTCCCTTTTCAGGGGCTGGAGGGGTGACTGAGGTGGGAGAGGGCAGGTCTGGCTCCACAGACCCATCTTGAGCACAACATCTTGAGGTACCTGCCATCCCGGACGCTAGGTGGGCGGGCAGGGTGGCTGCCAGTGTAGATCCTCCCCCCTCCCTTGCCCCCATCTGCCTCCTATCTGCCCCACCCCCTCACCCCTTCCAGACCCTTCAGCACTGGTTCTGGGAATCAGCTACGTGTCCCCTGCCCTCCCCACACCTCCCCTTCCTGCTGGGACAATGCTCACATGAGGAAGATGAGGCAGAGGAGGAGGAGCAGCGTCTTCACAGCCGATTCCCCGATGGCCACCAGAACCACCTCTGCCACGGGCCCTGATCTCCCTGCAGGAAAGTGGGATGAGGACGGATCCACCTGCTGCATTGCAATCCTAGTCCTTCCAATCCCAGTGGGATCTGGACATTGGTTCTCCAGGCCCGCCTGCATCACTGGATGTGGGACCACCTGTGCCCAGGCCTCACTCCAACTCACCCCACATCCTGACTGTCCAGCATTTAGACAGAGAAAAATTGTATAAGTTGGACTTCACCAAAACGACAAAATTTTGTTATTCAATTGACACTACTGAGAAAGTAAAAAGCCAACCTATTTCATGGCAGAAAATATTTGCCATTCACAGATATGATAAGAGTGTAGTATCCAGCACTCTTACAACTCAACAACAGAAAGTCAAACTACCCACTTAAAAAATGTGCAAAGAGAGCCAGCCCTCACGGCCTAGTGGTTAAAGTTTGGCACAATGCCTTTCAGTGGTGGAAACATGCCACTCGTCCGTCAGTAGCCATGCTGTGGTGGCGGCTCACATAGAAGAACTAGAAGGCTCACTAGAAGAACTTAAAACTAGAATATACAACCATGTACTGGGGCTTTGGGGAGGGTGAAAAAAGAAGAGGTGAAGATTGACAACAGATACTAGCTCAGGGTGAATCTTTCTCAGCAAAAAAAAAAAAAAAATAGGCAAAGAACTTGAAAACAAAAATCTCCAAAGAAGGACGTCAGCATCATGGCGGAGTGAGCTTTCCCGTGAACTCTTCCCCCGACAAGATACAACAAAAGGAACAGTCACAGACCAACAACGGAATCCCAGACAGTGAAAAGCTAGAGCGGAAAGATCCACACTAGCGCACATCTCGGAGCGGAACGTGCTGGGCCCCCGGAGGAAGTAGGGAGAGGTAAGGAGAACTCCTCTCCTTCCCTATCAGATCAGCGATCCCGGTCCGTGCGGCTCCCAGAGAGGGGGGAGGGGCGGCCCTCGGCGGGGAAACTGTAGCTCTTCGGACTCTCTCAGCCAGTGGGAAACTCCCGCACAGAGGACTCAGAAGAGCCACAGGGCTACCATCTACATCTGAGCACCCCAGAGAGTGGATAAAGAGGAGCAAACGAGAAGCCTCCCACATCAGGGACCCAGAGGGCAAAAGAGAGAGCTCCCCCTCCCCGCAAACCGGACCCTGCAGCTCAACTGACCAGACCAGACCTAGCGATCCGTGGCAGACCAGACCAAGAGATCAGTGACAGACCAGACCAAGTGATCCGCGGCAGACCTGATCAAATGACTGGAACCCCCCCCGCCCCCGGATCGCAGCGGGGGGGGTGGGGAACTGTGGATCGCAGCAGAAAAACCGGGGCAGAGCGCACGGGGCTTAGACTACACAGCCCTTTACCACCAGAAAGTGGCGGCAGGTGGAAATTGCAACCAGAGACTTCCAGGATGAGGAAAAACAAAACCAACACAGGAAC